CTGCAGACTGTTTTCTGCTATATTTTATGTTATCTCTGTGTTGAAAACAAAACTGAAGGCGGTACGTGTGGTAGAGGGAGGGTGTCTGGGCGCTGTTATGTAATGGCCATGTAACACTCGTGATGACTCTCGCACTGTCATCAAACCCTGTAACACCTGTAGACTGCTCTGGCTACTGCTGAACGTGACATACAGGCTGCCAGGAAGGAGAACCTGTAATCACAAGGTACTCCTATTAGTAACACAAAGTTAGCAGGGAAAACCCAGGTACGGATGGGGGTAAAGGAGGCAGACAGCTGTCTCATCCAAAGCTTAAAAAACAAAACAAAAGCAAACAAATCCTGTTCCTACAAAGCTGCTGCATTGCTTTATTTAAACTACACTATTGCAAGTCCAAATGATGCCTTCAGGTGTGTTCCCTTGCATGTTGCAGTGAATTATTCCTGTGCTGCCCATTCTTCCAGCTTTGAGTCTCTTCAAAATTTTCACTAGCCTGAAGTAGGGTCTGCATTCATTATCACCTCTGCACTTTTCCTTTTTTACTTTCCCTTTTTCTTCCTCCATGTGCGTGTGCTGTACCCTCACTCACAGTCTAGGATGAGCCAGAGTGGAAACCTCTTCAGTGTAATTGATACAGAATGGAGCCTATTTCTGTCCAGAGTCCTCTGGTCCTCCAGTGCTTTCTCTAGTCCCGCCTGTGACAGGGGCCTATGGAAAACCGTACTTCCATATTCCTTAGCTAGCTACTACTTGAGGTCGGACACAGTCTTATCTTGCTTACTAGACTGCTTCTGCACCTTGTCATAGGGGAACCAAGCACTGTGCAGGATAGGTTGTGACCTGTGAGCATGTGTAGCAGGCTTAGCATTTGATGTGGGCTCAAACTTGTGCTTTCAGTGTCTCTGCGCTGGATCAAGCTGCCTCCAGTGTGGACAAACAGCCGAGACCATGTGAGAGAGGTGCCTTACATGAGGTATGGGCACTCAGCAGTGCTCATAGATGACATCGTCTACATATGGGGTGGTCGCAACGACACTGAGGGAGCCTGCAACGTGCTCTATGCCTTTGATGTCAGTAAGTTCCAGCTTCTCACTCTTCCTTGTCACAACTGCTTGTGATGAGACCTTCTCTGTGCACCACTGCACTGCTCCCAACTTGCTTTCCTGTCCCTCAGTCTCTCTACAAAGTGACAGTCGGGAGGAAATGGTGCAAATGGGAATTGGTGTCGCTGGCTGTTTCAGCAGATTTAGAAGGGGAGCAGGGTGGCCACTGTGTCTGCACATTTGACTCTCTGTAAAAGCTTTGGAACAGGGGTTACTGAGCTTGTCTAATAGTCAAACTGATTTTAATTTTTCTGTCAGCTTTGTGTGTTCTTTCTGATACTAACTACAACTGAAGCGTTCTCTCTCTGTGATGTAGTATTTCTTAAGTGTGGCTGAAGGTTGCAGCAAGAAGGGACTAGAGCTCTCAAGGATTGTGGTTCCTCTCCAGGGTGGTCCTTCTTTCTGAAAGCATGAAGGAGAGTGAGGAGTAAAACACAGTAGTAGTCAAGGACAAGGATGGCAAAATAAGGGTAGATATGAGTCAAGTTAGACGAACCTGAAAGAGAAACTCCTTGAGCCTCTCGGTTGGCTTCTCCATAGTGCTGCTGGAGCACCTGGGGAGAACAGGCACCATCAGGAACTGGGTGGACAGGAGTGTCAGGAAAAGAAGGGAGTACATCTGGATTCTGGAGGCAAGTCTGTCTAAATACTGACCAGTAACTGGCTTTCTGGACTTGCAAGGAAAGTGCTTGTTCTGGTGCTTGGTCATGGGTTCCCTCCTTCACCAGGAAATGTCTTACAGCTTGGAGCTGCTCTCTGGGCACAGGATTTCCCTTTTCCCATGACACATGCAGCTGGGAAGCCACCAGTAAACCTCTGCCTACACAGAGGCCTTGTAGTGGGAGCTACCTGGTCTCCCTGCCAACTTCAGTGCCTTAACATTAAGTGAAAATTAACAGAAAGGCCAGACTTCAGTCCTGGTCTGAACCCTCTGCAGCTGTCTGTACGCATTGTGCCTGTCCCCTGCCAATCCTGGAAAGTGAGGCTGGCAGTCACCGTCCCATGTCTGGGGTGTAAGTTCCACTGTAGGTGTCACATCAGGCTGGATAAAGTCCTGACTGAGTGCAATTTTGTCCCCTGGGGTGCCGAGTGGATCATAAGTTGAGGTCTTTTCCATCTCTAATTTGATGTGTTGCACTTCAGTGAGCTCTTGCTGCTACCGTGTGACTGGGCTTGGAAGCAGCCCCATAAAGGAAAGGAACTTGATAGCTGCTGTAGCTTTCTCACTAGAGGCTGCCCAGGAATTTTGTTGACCTTGCAAGACCCTTTGTGTGGTTCCAGCTGGAGCCTAGGTGGATACCTGTGGCCAGAGGCCAAGTTCAGAGAAGTTATCCCCATGAAGAACGTTGCTTTGGCTCCAACGTTACTGCTTCCTGAAATAAGCACTGCTCTTGGCAGCTCACAGCAGTTAGGGAGGGTGGAGGGAATGTCTTCTGCTGCCTTGAGGCTTATCTGTGCCTCTCTGGGCTCTTGGGACAGCTGCCTGTTTGTGCTTGGCAGTGATTCGTTGGCTTGGCTCCATGTTGCCCTGGAATGGAGAACAGTTCTGGCTGGATTTAAAGTCATCCCCTAAATCAAGCAGCCCCTGGAGTGTGTGGGCTAAGGGGATGAATCTGGTTGGTGCAGGCTCATGGGGAGCAGTGCGAAGGGAACAATGAAGGGTGGAGAGTGAGGAAGGCTCCCCTTGAAGAGGGGATGAGAATGTAACAAGAGGAGAAGATAAGATAGGGAGATCTGTGCTGCAGAAGTAGGGATGTGCACAGTAGCTCTGTTGACAGAGTGAGCTTGTGGTTAAGTGACTTCTTGCCTGAATTTGAGAGATGTTTTTCCTTGGTCAGTTAGTCAGCATCTCCACACCATGAGGTCAGTTGAGCCACTTGGCATCATTACTTCATTGTAATTGAAACTGTAGATGCAGAGCTGATGAGTGACTCACAAGTAGGCTTTGTAAGAGATTCAATAAAAATAACATTGCTCAAGTAGTGCTGTACTACTCACACCTAAAATGTGAGCTGTTTGTCAAGTTGGGCAGAGTCACTGGCTGTGCCCAGAAGCTGAGACCTCTGTTGCTGTGCCCCTTTGTGGATGCTCAGACAGGCAGCCTTGCCTGAAGAAGCCTTCAGTCTC